CATATGGAGTTTTCTTTAAAATTGGCCTAATCATTACTCGATTTACAACATAACAAGCGGTATTTATCGCTTCCGCCCAAAAATATTTTGGCAAATTATTTTCACAAAGCATGGTTCTAGCCATTTCTTCTAAAGTTCGATTTTTTCTCTCAACAACTCCATTTTGTTGAGGGGTTCTAGGTGCTGAAAAATTATGGCTAATACCATTAGAATTACAAAACTCAATAAATCCAATATTTTCAAATTCAGTTCCATGATCACTTCTAACACTAGTGATAGAGTAACCTTTTTCATTTTGGATTATTTTTAAAAATGTGATGAAATTTTCTAATGCTTCATCTTTAGTACTTAAGAATAGAACCCAAGTGTATCTAGAATAGTCATCTACCAAGACAAATGCATATTGTTTTCCTCCCAAGCTAGTAGTTCTAGTTGGCCCAAAAAGATCTAAATGGATCAATTGTAATACTCTACTAGTTGATACATCATTAATAGATTTAAAAGAAACTCGTTTTTGTTTTCCTTTAGCACAAGCATCACAGATTTTATCATTATCAAATTTAAGCTTAGGCAACCCTCTTACTAAGTCTCCTTGAATTAACCGTTGCAAAACACTCATACTAGCATGACCTAGTCTCCTATGCCATAACCAACTATCATGCTCATCCTTAGCAACTAGGCATAAATTAGTCATATCAATAGAATCTAAATGCACCATGTAAATGTTTCATATTCTATGACCAACAAGCATAATCCGATTAGATGCAATGTCAATGACTTTACAACCATTAATTTCAAATAAGACATTGAATCCTTTATCGCATAATTGACTAATACTCAATAGATTATGCTTTAATCCATTCACATATAAAACATTCTTAATTTGTATGGAAGATGTATTACCTATTGTACCAATACCTTCAATGTGACCTTTTGAATTGTCTCCAAAAGTCACTTCTCCTCCATTTTAGGCGTTAAGCTCAATGAACCGGCTTTTGTCTCCGGTCATATGTCTAGAGCATCCACTATCAAGGTACCATGAATTTGAATTTGTTTCCCGTGCCTTGTAGCAATGCTCCTTTCCCTACAAACATAGATTAATTTTTGATTTTTGGTACCCAAATTCTTTTGGGTCCATATTCATTAGTTTCCAAAATCCTAGTCCCTTTAGGTATCCATTTGTGTAGGATATTTTTATCATTAGTAGTAATGAGTTCTTTAGGAACCCACATACTTCTAATGATTTTTCCATTAGAGGTTCTTTGGGGACCTCTATGATTGTAGTTTCTAAAACTTTTTCTAACAAAATTGGATTTTGAATTTCCACATTTTTTAAAATGTTTTGTTCCAACTTTATCAAAAGAAGTTTTAAGATCATCAATTTTCTTTTGATGATCATCATTGATCTTTGAAAGTAAATTTTGCAAATCTAAATTTTTCTTTTCAAACTCTTTTAGTTTGATTTGCAAATCTTTGATTTTACTTTCAAGATCGTTGTTGGTTTTGGATATGAGTTTGTTTTCATTTTTCAATTTTGAAACATCATTTTTATATTTTAAAAACAATTTCTCATAATCCGAAGCCAAACCATTGTACTCCTCAAATAACTCATCATAAGATAAATCATCAAAATCGGATGAGTTAGAGGTTACCTTAGAATATTCCCCGAATGCCATCAAGCACAAGTTTGCTACTTCTTGTTCCTCTTCATCGGAACTTTCTTCATCGCTCCATGTAGCCACATGAGCCTTGTGCTTATTCTTTGATTGACCCTTTTTCTTCAATTGTGGGCAATCATATTTGACATGCCCCGGCTTTTTGCATTCATAGCAAATGATTGGATCCTTCTCTTTTGGTTCATTTTTTAGGCCTTCGTTTCGTTTGAATTTTCTTCCTTGGTAAGGTCTCATCATTTTTCTGAACCGTTTGGCAAACAATGCCATTTCCTCGTCATCATCATCATTATTAGAATCACTCTCATCTTTTATGGATTTGAGAGCAACTCCAATATTTTTCTTCTTCTCCTTTTCCTTTGGTGTCTCTTCAACTTTATCAAGGTCCACCTCATCTTCAAGCATCATCTCATGAGTGAGGAGTGAACCGATAAGTTCTTCAAGAGTTAAGGACGATAGGTCCTTAGACTCGATGATTGCCGTCTTCTTTGATTGCCATGATTTTGGGAGGGAGTAGACTAACTTCCTCACAAGCTTTTCATTTGAGATGATCTCTCCATATGATTTGAGACCATTGACAATCGTTGAAAATCTATCCGTCATAGCTTTGATGTCTTCATTTGGTTTCATCCTGAAATTTTCATAGCTATGCGTTAGAATACTAATTTTTGATTTCTTTACCTCATTTGTACCTTCATGTGTGACTTGAAGCTTGTCTCATATTTCTTTGGCGGTTGTACACGATGAAACTCTTCCGTATTCATCTGGTCCAAGAGCACAAAAAATAATATGGATGGCTTTGGAGTTGAGCTGGAACATTCTTGTCTCTCCTTCACTCCACAACCTTGGATGAGTGAGAGGTTTGATGTATCCTTCTTCTACAGCATTCCATGCTCCCATGTCACTTGCTTGAATGAAGTACATCATTCTATTCTTCCAATAGGCATAGTTAGCTCTATTGAAGAAAGGAGGCTTGTTGACGGGCATCGAATCGAGACCGGAGTCGAAGTTTGAAGCGGAGGCCATTGATGACTTTAATAATCGATATAACTCTTCCCGAATCGACTCAAGAGGCGATTAAACCTTCAAATGAGTTAGGCTCTGATACCAATTGTTGAGTTAATCGATCGACGGAATCGGCCAAGAGGGGGGTGAATTGGCAATTAAAAATTTTGTGGAAGCTTTTGCAGAAAAATTGAAAGTAATTGCACAGCGATTTACAGTGGTTCGACTTTCTCAAATAAAGTCTACGTCCACTACCTTAGCTATCCACACTAAGGATTTTCCAACAAATTCACTAATTTGTTCTTTCTTTTGAGGCCAAAGAGATAACCTTACAAATCCCTCAAGAGTATACCCCAACTCTTGAGAACACTCTTTTTCCCAAAGAGAATATTACAAATTTGCAAACTTACAAGAAAATCTCACAAGGTAAGATGTTTGCACAATTCTAGAACAAGAAAAGAACACTCAAAGATAATTACAAATGAGCACAAATGGTGTTCTTGAAAGCAAAATGAATATTGAAAGGAAAATTGGCTTGATTTGCACAAACTTGGTGTTTGATGCTTTCTCTCTTGTTTCTCTATAATTTCTTGTTGGTCAAGGGCTCCAGAACTTGTTTAAATACACCTTGAATCTCTTCTGAACGTTGGGGATGATTAGTGAAGATCATATAGCCGTTTTAGTGTGAAAACAATTAATAAAACAGTTTGGAGCGTGGGGGGAATCGGTACCCCCTATGGGGAATCGGTTCCCTAAGTGTAAAATTCAAATATTTCGACCGTTGAACAGGGGGAATCGGTACCCCCTATGGGGGAATCGGTTCCCTCCGAGCATTCTGGAAATCTCGGAGCCAAACCATTCAGGGGGGAATCGGTACCCCTAGGGGGGAATCGGTTCCCTCTGAGCAATCTGGAATTTTTGGCTTTGAAATGGTTCGAAATACTTTGAAAGATTATTTTGAAATTATTTTAAGATTAAAACTTAATTTTACACTTAAGTAAGGATTAAAAATGATTTTTGAAATATTTTGAGTAATGTTTTGATATTCGAATAATTATATCGAATATACTTAGAAAATCATTTTGAAAAATCTTAAAATTCATTTAACTTAATTTGTTATATCGAAATATCAAAATATTTTCAACAAACTTAATATAATATTAAAATATATTAACATATAAAAAATATCTAAGTTTAATTAATATAAATCTTAATAATAAATATTAACATAATATAATTTAACAATATTGTATAAGTAGATCCATTAGATATAAAGATAAAAAATTTAAGAAATACACATTTTAACTTTTATCCTACATTGTCAAAAAAATATAAATTAAACACTCCAATATGCCTATATAAACTAACCTCATTAAGTTCTTCAACTCATGAAACTAATATATATTAAATTACGATGTTAGTCTCTATAGTTTTATTTTTTTTAAATGCTTTGAGGGATGATGTGGACTTATGGATGGTACGCTTTATGATCCGCATCTTTCGTATATGTCAGAGGTTCAGCCAAGGCGCGAATGACGATCCTCGCCTTCTCTTATATGGCGCCAGTTCGGACAAAATCTCGCGAAGGTACGGATGATGATCTGTGCTTTGTCAGAAAAGATGTTAGACTGATAATATTAAAAGAGTGTGTATCTGACATATAATTAATGGGCGATGATATTTCGGTAAAAAAGCCAATAAGTGGGGGTGTTTTGCCAATGATTTCTAGAAACCGATCAAAAGAATGATCGCTGGAATATTCAAAGTAGTTTTTGGTTGGAAAAGCCATAACTATTTCATCTCCAACCTTAATTAAGCAGCTTATTAATTGTGCCACCTCCCCATAATGCAAAAGCGACAAGCAAAAGCCAAACTTATTTCCATCATTAACCAATGATTCACTTCTTATCCGAAGAAAGGTATATTTAATTAGGGATTGACACAGATTTTAAATAAGAGGACGAATTCGAACTTATAAAATTCAAAAAGGACGAAAACAAATTTTTAATAAAAATATATAATTTTTTAAATATATAATAATTTTAAATTTTTAGAAAAAACGACTTCCTGTATCTCGGTTCACGCCTATATTTAACCATTGATCTGCACACATGGGGTTCATGTACTTTTACCTGCACTAGTGTCTATTGCTTAGAATAGAAAGTTGCAAAAGAAAGGCATACTTTTAAATTAGAATCTATTTTCTTTTTCGTCTTTGGGTTAAAGTTAAGAAGCACATTATCTTTAAAATAAGGTCAAGAATAATTTCAATGGGCGGGTTTATGACATGCCTGCTTAACAAGTCTTGCCTTGGTTTTGCACGACCTTTTCAAGTCTCCAAGAAACTGGAAAATCCTCACCAATTTTCTACAAATGGAATGTACATTCTTTGCTTATCTTCCCTCATCACATATGAGCTCTTCTTTCTTTTTATGCCTCTTGCTCATCGTATCTGTCATATGCTCTCCTGGTATACACCTTTCCATTTATATCTTGGCATAACCTCAAAATTAGCCCCTAATATTTATTAAAATGATCATTTTGGTTCATATTATTTTTTGGAGTATTCTTCCCATAATCACTTTAGTTTCTTTTCTTTTTTTCTTGAAGCATTTTGGCCCTTAACATCTTTATTTTAGGGTAAAAATACTTATTTTGGAGCCTTAATTATTTGTTGACTAACTATTTTCATCTATAGTTTTTCTTAAAATGAGCCAAAATGCTCCGCATGTAATTGGCCATATGTGCTTTCTTTTTCATTCTATGGTAGGCTGCATGCTGATTTGATGAATTTCTATGGCTTTCACTGGTTGTATATTGGCCATTGGCCATTGTTTGTAATCTTGTATAGTTTGCTGAAATATCTTTACTAAATTCTTGTACTAATTCATGTTCTGTATGTGCTGCAGTTTCAGCTTCACATTCAGTGACGTGGACCTATGGAGTAAACTACGGCAGGATAGCGAACAATCTACCGGCACCGGAGAGTGTGGTGACGCTTCTAAAAGCCGCGAAGATAAACCACATTCGAATCTACGACGCCGATCACGGAGTTCTCCAGGCCTTCAAAGGGTCCGGTATAGAAATCATAATCTGTCTCCCCAATGAGCTCTTGACAGAAATGAGTATGGGAGAGGACCGTGCCATGAATTGGGTGAAAGAAAACGTGCAGGCATTCCTTCCCGGAACCCGAATCCGAGGAATAGCCATCGGCAACGAGATATTAGGAGGGACAACTATGCAACTTTGGGAGGCCTTATTGCCAGCAGCAAAGAATATTTATATTGCTCTGTACAGATTGGGACTACATCGTACAATTGAGGTTTCAAGTCCACATTCAGAGGCTGTGTTTGCCAATTCTTTCCCACCATCGGCCTGCATCTTCCGACCCGATGTCGCGCCGTTTATGAAGCCGCTTCTCGAGTTCTTCTCACAGATCGGCTCACCGTTTTACATAAATGCCTATCCATTTCTAGCCTACAAGAATGATCCTCAACATATTGACATCAACTATGCATTATTTAAAGATAACCGTGGGATATATGATGCAAAGACAAAGCTGCACTATGACAACATGTTCGAAGCTCAGGTCGATGCAGCCTATGCCGCGTTGGATAAAGCCGGTTTCAGCAAGATGGAAGTCATTGTTTCCGAAACAGGGTGGGCGTCTCGTGGCGATCCGGATGAAGCCGGTGCGACGGTGAAGAATGCCAAGACTTATAATAAGAACCTGAGGAAACGTTTGGCTAAGAAGAAGGGGACGCCGTTTAGGCCGCATATGGTGGTCAGGGCTTATGTTTTTGCGTTGTTCAATGAAAATTCGAAGCCGGGGCCGACGTCGGAGAGGAACTTCGGATTGTTCAAGCCCGATGGAAGCATTGCGTATGACATTGGATTCACTGGACTCGAGCCTTCTGCAGCAGCAGCCTCCCTTCTCTCTTTTAAGGTATGCTCTGCTTTTCTTCGCTGCATATCTCATAATATTCCTTATTAATATGGGTGGCAATTCGATCTAATTGAATCGAGTCAAAAAAATTTAAATTAATTAAATCGACGAGTCTTATTTTATAAATTAAATTTTATTTAAAACATTTTTGCGCCAAATATTAAACTCATTTAAAAAATATCAGTTTAAACTTTAAGAATCAAGGTTTAAGTCCAATTCAACTTGATCCGTTTTTTAATGCTATAATATATTAATTTTCTTACATTGCTCTTCTTGCAGGATATTGCAGCTCAGGGTTGGTTAAGATCGTCTTACTTGTTTGTTTCTACGGCTTCAGTTGTTGTTTTATTACAATGTTTGGGGTTGTAAATACTGGAAAAAAAACATTAATTAACTTTGAATTCTTTGTACATAGAGAATTCATTGATAGGATCGAGTTTAAATAATAAAAATCATTTAGTAAATTATTTTCTTTTTTGAAAAACTTGAACACTACATATCGTTAATATAATACTTGTAGTTATGATATTACATTTAAAAATTAACTACTGGTTGGATGATGGCACGTGACACGATCTGATTCGAATATCAAATTTATCTTAATTTATTAAAATTAGGACCAAATTAATTGAGTATGTAAGAAACAATGACCAAATGTGTAATGACTGTCTATCTATTTTTCTGATCCACCTCCGAATTTGTCTAGTCTTCTACATATTTAGTATTCAACTATTATTTTTATTTTGTTTTAGTTATCTAACTATTTTTTGTTTCAAAATTATGCTTAACTAGGTAATTCTGATCATCCACATCATCATTGTTTTTAAAAAATATAATGTCAATAGTTCTGTTAATTTTTCAACGACGCGTGATTAAAATAAAAATAAAATCGTTAGCCATGATTATGAGAGAAAAAATTATAGTTAAGTGACCCAAAAAAAATGAAAGTGATAGTTGAGATACTAAACGTGTAGTTTACCCTAAAAGTTGACACAGGTACGAGTACTCATGTTTTCAAAGTTAAGTATTGAGTTATGCAAGCCAGTTGTCGCCAACCTCCATAGTCCTTTGTGGTTGCGCGCGTTGCGCTTAAACCAGCAGGTCGATGGTTCTATTCTGGTTGGCAGCAATGATGATGGCTGAGATGATGATGTAGTTTACCCTAAAATTTAAATTGAGGTATTCTAAAATACCTTTTTTTTTTTATTTCCATGAAATTTAATACAATAAAATATTAAAGGTTTTTGGATGAGGAATCTCAATATGCTTTTAGGAGGTGTTTGGTTCAAGGATTGTGGGATTCTCATGATGAGAATCCCATACTCATGTTTGATTGGTCGGGAATCTCATTCCCGGTAATGTTTTATTACCAATAGTAGATTTTTTGGGGTATATTACCGGGAATGTCATTACCTCCCTTCTCTTAGGTATTTTAATATTACCGGCGTTTTGAACTAAAATGCCCTTAAATTTTTATTTTTTTCAAAAATGTCCTTCTTCTGTCATTGAATAATAAAAATTATACGAATGTTAAATTACAAATTTATCTTAAATTATTTTAGATTTACAAAAAAAAAAATCTATAAATAAAATTTTATATGAAGTTTAAGGGTTAAAAAAATTTACCCTTTCATTAAACATTTTTTATGTTTTTAATTTTGTAAAAAAATTATATAAATATTATGAATTTAATTTTTTAAAGAAAATATATAAATATTTTACAATTTGTAATATTATACAAATATATAATAAGGACAATTTGGTCAAATATACATTCTAATAATCTTTTATTCCTTTAACCAAACACGGTAATCTTACATTCCTGCTAAACCAACCAAACACAAAATAGAACATTTTCAGTAATCCCATTCCCTGATAATCTTTTATTCCTACTGGTAATCTTACATTCCGTGAACCAAACGCACCCTAAATAATGCTAAGAGTAGAATTGGCCACCGCCCCTTCCCTTTGTCTTCGATGGTTAAGTGATCCTTCACTCTGCCTACGACAAGGTTCGAGGCCGGTACCAAAAGAAATTAAAGAAAAAAAATTAAGCCTTCAAATGAATTAAGGTATTTTAAAATACCTTTTTGAAAAACAATTTTATTTACGAGACTTTAATCATATATGTTTTTTATACTTATCGATACTTTATTTATTAATTAATAGATTAAATGAATTATTGTAAAAGTCTATTATAAGAGTGACATTTTCAATTAATAGTATTTAACTTATAATGTTAAAATTTAAATAGTGAACATTGTTTTCGAAAAAAAATCATTTTTAGATGTGAAAATGTGTTAGTGTTGGGGTTAATTCGATGCGTTGATATATATTTAATAAATTATAATAGAGATACGAACCAAGTGACTTTCGAGGCAAATAAATTGTAGTTGTTCTTTGAGGACTCATGTTCGAGCACCATTAATTCTAGAGGTGTGAGCGTTAAATGTCAAGAGGTTGAGAGTTGTTTTTTAACAGATACACTCATGTATTTACCTCAGATTTATCAAAAAAAAAATTAATGAAAAATTATACATAAAATTTAGTTTTTGTTTCATTCTAATGATTGATAGTTTATGTACTAAATACGTAATTTATCCTTTATAATGAAATAACATGGACCAATCTCCCTGTATCGTCGCATACAAAGATTTTTGATATTGGATTTTAATTGACATTGTTTTTTAATAAAATTTAATTACAAAATAATAATAATAATAAAAATATTTTTAATATCGTGATTTTGGGCTAAGTAGGGATTGTCAAAATACTCGAACCCGACGGGTTTTATTTCGGTCGGGTTTTCTGTTTGAATTTTTAGGGTTGGAACGAAGTGAGTTATATAATAGGTAGGTTCGGGACAGGACGGGATCGAATTTAAAGTGAAAAATCACCTACCCGACTCGACAACAATTATTGGGTTTTTTTGTTTGAATTTTTTTATATATTCAGATCAAGTCGAAATCAAGATTTTAGTCTAAAAAACGAGATGAATTCAGAACGAGAGAAAAACTAACAATTATCGAGACGGGACAAAATCAAATATAAGTAATACATTTTCAGGTCGGGATCGACGCGGCCAAAAAAAAACACCTAACTATAGAAAATGTCACATGTATGTTAGTGGAATCTAAATGCGTTGGGAAACGATAAAGATGTAAATTTGGCAAAATGTGTTACTGGCTCTTCTCTTGTCCTCAATGGTTAGGTGCGCTGCACTACTGACCTTGACAAGGTTCGAGAGTTGGTAACCAAATGAATTCAATGAAATGGAAATCATATATGTTAAACGAGGTATTCTAAAATATCTTTCTTTTACGTTAATTGACTTGTTTCGGCGATTAAAGTATTTTTTTGTTATTTTTAAAGATTATAAATTCGAGCATCAAATACTGCAAAAGTGACTCTTTTACACTAATGGACTTATCTCGGTAATTAAAGGAATCGTTGTTATTCTTAAGGATTACATATTCGAGCATCAATTACTGCAAGAGTGATTAAACGTTCATTATTAAATGATTGATACCTAGAATAAATACTACTTTACAATCATTTTAGTTTAATAAATAAAATACACTTTTTTTTCATATATAATTGTTGTCATGTGTGACTAATTATATTTAGTCTGTTGTTCATCTTTATTTCTTTATATTTTTTATATTATGAGTTTTAGGCTCAATAGGATCATTTCTCTTCCTTCCCTTATGGTATCTTTTTCTCATTCTCTTTATATAAGATTAAAATTAAATTTAGAATTTTTTTAACAAAATATTATTTTTATTAATATAGGGTAAGTATAAGATATTATTTATTCAAAGATAACTCACAACAATTTGACATTAAATGCTCACACCTCTAATATTTATGTTGCTCGAACTCGAGACCTTAAGGAACAATAATTTCTTTATCATGCATGAACCAAGAGACCTTGGTGATGAAGAAATTGTTGTTATTTCTTGATGTCTCTGGTCGGAGCACCAGGAATATCTCATGTGTGAGCGTTAAGTGTTAAATAGTTGAGATTTAAACAAATATTATTTTGAGAAAATCGCAACGCGATTCCAAGAATCGCAACGCGATTAAGAAAATCGCAACGCGATTCCAAGAATCGCAACGCGATTCAGAAAATCGCAACGCGATTCAGAAAGAAAATCGCAACGCGATTAAGAAAATCGCAACGCGATTCAGAAAATGGGTAAATTCTTTCAAAAGCTATTGTATTTGTTTCTTTCTTAAGAATTTTCTCTAAAAAGATAGTATCCGCGCGGACGTGTCGAAGACACGTATTACCACGACCACGACCACGACCACGACCACGACCACGACCACGACCACGACCACGACCACGACCACGACCACGACCACGACCACGACCACGACCACGACCACGACCACGACCACGACCCGACCCGAGACGAGACGAGACGGCGGCGGCGGCGCGCGAGAGTCCCCCTTGTTCTCTTTCACTCAACAAGGAAATGGGAAATCCAAGCCTTAAATACTCTTCCCAATAGTGTTTCCAATACTATGTGGGATTGAGCATTACTCAACACTTCAAAGAAAATATAGCAATTTTTGTAGCATGTTTCCCGCTTAATCCATATTTAAAAATATTAAAACATTTTATCATATTAAAACTATATGTATAAGTTTGAATTGAAATGTAGATATCTAAAACTATATGTATAAGTTTGAATTGAAATGTATAAGCTTTAAAACTATATGTTGGTCATTTTCGCAAATCCAAAAAAAGTTGGTTAAAATCGTATATTATAACTTTTTTTTGGTCACTGAGGCGATTTTCTCTATTATTTTTTACTTGCTCAGTTTAATAAAAAAAAAGTCAAAAATAATACTATGGTGGTGGAAAATGTGCTGATTTTGAATTTTATAAGCTCGTGAGACCTTTTGAAAATGGAAGAAAATGTATTACTTAGATTAAATAGAAAAAGAATGCAACATGTTGCACTGATCTCCTTTTTGTCCTCAATGGTTAGGTGCTTGTCATTTTAACCTGGGCAGGGTTCGAGACACAGTACAAAATACAAATAAAGTAAGTGCTCATAAATAATTAGAGATATTCCAAAGTACCTTTTTCATATTTTTTGTCTTTTTTTTTCATTTCACACGTAAGAAAAAAAATAATTTTCTTTAAAACATGAATTTTGAAATAAATATCTAATTATACTAAAATATGATAAATTAAGTCTTATAAAAATTTTACATGGCTTGAGATTTTATTAAAGAAATCATAAATGACTTTCACCGTAGTATCGTAATCATATTATTATGACTTTAGATCTCACTAAATTTTGATTATAGTAGTGATTAATTTGATATCGCTTAAGTAGATCTTGAGTTTGAGTTCTTGTATATACAGAAAATCCATGTTGGTATAATCACCTACCACAGTCAGGTATGTAACCCGAATTAATCTGAATTAATCAAGACGAGGATAAAAAAAATGTGTCGAACTTATTTGAGTTAAAACGAAAAGTATGCAAACTGCATTACTGGCTCTCTTCTTGACCTCGGTGGTTAAGTGCTTGTCACTTCATCCTTATCTGGGTTTGAGAGCTGGCAAGGAAAAAGCCTGGGATCTTGGACCACAACTTGTTCTTGAAAACATAAGAGGTATTCTAAAATACCTTTTTTTTTTTAAAGAAAATTAATTTTTATTTGGTGAATAATTTTATTTTTAAATTGATGATCAAAGTCGATCAGACCAAAAATATAAGGGATTATCTACATAGTTTACCCTTTTAACTAACTATGGTTCAAATCCATATAAATGTGAGTAGAGAATACATAATGGTTAAAAACATTGCAAAGGGACAGTGGTCTCTTTAGGACCTTGTTGGTCAGTGGTGCTTGCGCCTAAAAGATCCGACATGGTTCGAGGGACGGTGAGGAAACTGAACTATGCAATTTACTTAATAATCAAATGAGGTATTCTAAAATACCTTTTATTATATAAAGCTATTATTTTTTTCAATACTTTAAAACCGTAAATCTCTAACTTTGGTTATAACCTATATAAATATATAGTTTTTATTTTATTTCTTTTCTCATGTTTTTAATTTTAAATTTGGAAAATGTATTTATATGTTTTTAATTAGCTTAAGGGTCACTTCTACCCCTTGTAGTAGATTCAATTTATCGCTTTCGCTCCTATTTTATTTTTGTATCAATTTAGTCCTCGAAATTGTTTAATTGCATCGTTATATATCTTACCTTAACTTACAATCCCAAATTGTAAAGTATAAGTTAGGATTCAAGGTTTATCTTTTAAAAAAGAATATAAGGTTGTGATCTAAGGTTTATAATTTAAACTTTTAAGTTAAGAATAAAGTATAAAATGATATAATTGAACAACTTCAAAAGTTAAATTGATGTAAAAATACAATATGAATGAAAATGATAAATTAGATTTATTATAAAAATAAAAGTGACCCTGCTCGTACAATCAACTATTTTTAATTGATAGAATAATAATCTAAAAGACGTTAGGTACTACTAGATGGTGTTGAATATTGATCTTGCACCGAAAGTGCAAGGAACCAAATCAATTAAAAAAAAGGAAATGGGACACCAAAAGTGGGCACAATTAATGTCACATGGCATTTGTTGAATTTTTTTTGAAAATAGTAAAATCATTTTTAGTCATTGTAATTTAGAGTATTTACAAATTAATCCTTAAATTTCAACTATAAATACCCTAGCTTATTTAGCTTCAAAATCATCCCAAAGCATTCTAGCTTTCTTCCAATACTAGAGAATTTAGAGAGTTTCTTGAGAGTTGTTTTCTCCTTTTTATCAAGAGAGAATTATCATTGTTTTCTCCTTGGTAGATCGAGAGATGTTGTAATTCCTATTTTCTCATAGTGAAATTCTTCTACCGTTGCCCGTGGTTTTTATCTTATATTATTTAAGGGTTTTCCACGTAAATTTTGTGTCTCTTTTATCTTTATTTTTATTTTCTCAAATTATCAGTTACGATTTTGCTCTGTCCGATAGCCGTCTTCCGCAACAGATGGGACTAAACGCTTACCATATAAAATCCAAGGAACCGATCACTCGGGAGCATCTGCACCTTTTCATAATGAGTTGGGAGGTAACCGTGAGGATTGCTTCCTGTATCTTTGTTAACTCGTCCCCACTCATAACCACTCGGGGTAAGCTTGTATGCCGTTAATGAGCATGAACCTGGAGTGAAACTGCATGTCAAGATTATGCACTGCTCTCCATGCCACTGCTTGTTGTTCTCTAAAACCCGCATGGGATGTGACATCCTGAACGCATAAGAGAACACTTTGTTTATAACATTCGATTTGCAGAGATGAACTACAACATCGAGTAAAAAGAAACTAAACACAAACCTGTGGCGATAACTGAGGAAGCTCATTTGGCTGTGTGTGTAGCCATCCCAAAGGCTCCAGATCATTCAAGAAATCATGCTCTGGAAGAGCTGATGGTAGATTAACTTGCTGATGAGTACCCCCCATTGTGGCGGCATGGCAATGCATCGAATTTCCTTAACCTGGGGATTATCAGGAGGGCTTATTCCATACAGGTATCCAGCAATCTGAGTCCGGAGATCTGCTATACAGATGAACTTTAAAATGTTTTCCGGCATGATATAAGTGTACCCAGTTTCCTGCATAGTTAATGTTTAATCATGTCTGCAGATCGATAAGCACCAGAATCTAGATCAATCAATACACCTAAAATTAGTCTTATTTTTGTTGGATAATTGATCTCTCACATAAGTGAGGATACACACCTTTATGTCCTCTGAGTTCACATATATATGATCGACTCGAAGATAAAGATTAGTAGCTGATATCGCTCTAACACGCCAATCCGTCTTGGATCCAAATGCTGCTTGTTCATAGGGACTTGTGGTGGTGACAATGAGCTAATCACCATGCACATTTGTAGTTCTAGTTGTCACAGCTGTCAGCTGGCTTGCCTCATTATTTTATCTTACTATTCTGTAAGTTCTGCATTACTTTATTATCAGTACTTCAGATATATGAGAAAAAAATCAAAATAAAAATCCAATATCTTTTCATCATTAATTCAACCCACATTAGGTTATAAATTTAACCGGCGCTTCCTCGTCCTCTTCTCAATAAAACTATAACGCCACCTGTCGTAATCATCGAAATAGATGGCATTTCAAATAAAACATAAATTTAATACGTAATTATTGTTTCATTTGAGACCTAGAACCAGTGGTAGAATAATACCCTGCGGAACGGAATAGACCCGGGTTCGATTCTTGGCTTGTGCAATCTCTGGAGCCGTGTAGATATCCGCTTTGCTTGAAGGTTGGGTCCTTCGCTTACTAGGCGTTTCTGAGCTCCTCTTTTTTTTTTCTTGTTCTTTTTGTTGGATTGTAGAAAAAAAATGTAACTTATATTTGGTAAATTCTGCTGTACAGCGTCTAGAAAAAGGTTAAAAAACGACGTGACTGATTAAAATTTAAATCGGTTATATTATATCATTTAACCGAAAATATTATCAAGTACAATAATATATTAGGTAACGCTTATATAATGTAATAGGTATCGCTTATATTGACCTATTTTCTAACTAAACATGTATATTTAAACCGATAACATTGCAAATTTACCTATTACATTATAATTATCGTTTTGATTTTTTGGGATTGATACAATTTTAAATGTATCGACATTTTATACGTGCACCTCGTTGTGCTTTCATTTTGAGAAAAAAATATCGACATATATATAAAGAGTGTCGATACATAATGTAAATCTATTTGCTAATTAACCAGTATATTTTTACCGGTTACATTGTAAATTTACCTGTTACATAATAATTATCGATTTCGATATTTTTTTTATCGACACTTATGCGTGCACCAGTTTGAGTTCTTCAATCAACAGTTTCAATGATACAAAATCCTAACCAAAAAAATAAAACTAAAACTGACATAACTTTATCCTATGGAGATAATAAGAGTATATCATAAGTTTGCGTTGAGAGATGTTTGTTTCTGGGTTTTTGTTCTTTGAGAAACTGATAACATGGTGAGTTTCCCAATGTTATTCTTTTGTTACTGCAAAGTTTTTGTTCTTTTCTTACTAGGTTTTGTTTAAAATATCCAACTTTTTGTATTAAAAAATGAAAATTCTGAAATAAAAATGACCACACAAGCACACTTTTTTACTATCGATTTTGTCATTTCGAGACCGATTTTATCATATTTTTACATGTTATATTGTTATGGATCGATACATTTTTATAAAGTATCGACATTTTATTAGCGCTATAACTTCTTTTCTTTTAAATTCTAAAAGTGTTGATACTTATAATAAAGTATCGACACTTTCAACATATCCGGTAACTCTTTACCGGTTTTGTCATTTCGAGACCGGTTTTGTCATATTTTTACCTGTTATATTGTTATGGATCGATACATTTTTATAATGTATCGACACTTTATTAGCGCTATAACTTCTTCTCTTTTAAATTCCAAAAGTGTCGATACTTATAATAAAGTATCGACACTATCAACATATCCGGTAGCGCTTTACCTGTTTTGTCATTTATAGACCGGTTTTTCATTTTTTTACCTGTTATATTGTTATGGATCGATACATTTTTATAAAGTATCGACACTTTCAATATATCCGGTAGCGCTTTTCCTATTTTGTCATTTATAGACCGGTTTTGTCATTTTTTTACATGTTATATTGTTATGGATCGATATATTTTTATAAAGTATCGACACTTTCAATATATCCGGTAGCGTTTTACCTGTTTTGTCATTTATAGACCGATTTTATCATTTTTTTACCTGTTATATTGTTATGGATCAATACAATTTTATAAAGTATCGACACTTTATTAGCGCTATAACTTATTCTCTTTTAAATTCCAAAAGTGTTGATACTTATAATAAAGTATCAACACTATCAACATATCCAGTAGCGCTTTACCTGTTTTGTCATTTATAGATCAGTTTTGTCATTTTTTACCTATTATATTGTTATGGATCAATATATTTTTATAAAGTATCGACACAAACCGACAAACTAAGTTTTCCGGTTGTCAAATTTTTTAATATTTCTTCGTGATTTCTACCTATTACATTATTATTACTCGATATTTCCGGTAACGCTAAACCGAATTTGTCAAATATCTTTTAATGTATCCGGTAACACCGTATATTAGTCCGCCTTTCCTGAGACAATCCCCTTATATTTTCGATTTAGTTTTTGATATATTGTCAATAAAATATTTTAATTTCACAAGTAGTGTTTAAATATTGTCTTGTATTCTAAATCCTAGTAATTACAATTCACAAACCAAATGAGAAAATTCGAGGGCTCATCCTTTAGGAGTTTTATTTTGAGAATCAGAACAGTGAGAAGTCGAGACGTAACCATGTGAGCAACACATCCGAAACACAGCTAGATCGGACAGAGAACATCAAAGATTGAAGAAAGGAAAGCCGAATGATTTTGATCTAGATTCAAAAACTTCCCTGTATTTTTTTTTGGTAAATGGCCATTGGGTTTGGACTCGGGAGGCCGAGACGCAACTGCTGATGACTTTTCGGTCTCATCGGCCACCAATGACGACAGCCAACATAACAATCACTGATGTTAGATACGAAAATCGACAACAACTTACTGTCTGATTCTGAAATTTATTCAGAGAGAGGTAGAGGAAAAACAAAAGAACATAAAAAGTTGAGACATGATTTAAAATAGAAAGACTTTAAAAAGTTGTGCATCTTCTGATGCCATATTGCTCCATATGGACAATATGGCTTTGTTGCTTTTTTTGCTTATGTATCTACGCAAAATCAAAATAGATGTCACTCTGCCTGCCTTTCCCATAACTTCAAAAACCGACAAAACCGAAGCAGCCTTGCATCGTATAGAAAAACACTCATAAATATAAACGACCGTCGTATGTATTCAAAGAATCTGTTAATGGGGACTCCATACGAACATTAACTCTCTCAACATACATTGAACCCCTCAAAAAACTTCCACCATTGCATGTATGTTCCATGCATGACTTCTCACATGCAGTTCAACACGAATGTTGAATCTTAGCTTGCAAGGATTGATGATATACGCAAAACCAAATGGAAAATGTAACAAACCTGGGGTGGGGCAATTTTGCATTTACTCAAACATGCTTTCACAGGCTTAAAAATCTGCAAGGAAATATTTCATGATGACAATTGAAAGCTCTACAATTTTCCAGTACTTAAAAGGAACATAGACATCTTATTTAAACCTTTGTGTTGTACCCTTTCTTTTCCAAGAAAAGAAAGCTTAAAACAATCTTATGTATAGTTTTATCTATAAAAAGGAGAAAACGAGCATAGGAAGCCCGTTAGAATATGGTTCTAATGCAATCATACTAGAAATTATATACATTACATGCTAAACTAGTTAGTCTAATGCTTTGCACAAAGCCACAAAGGAGCAATTGAACCGAATCTCAATTGACATTACCAGGTGGATAAAAAAGGAAAACGGAGACCGGTATTATTTATAAGAACCATTTACCTTCACAATGTATACTATTAATCTTGCTCTTCTTCTACCTCGTGAACTCTATTCAGTGACTCTTCAAACGCTTGCAATGCAACTTTGTAATGATCTAAAGAAATTGCTCCCTCTTCCACAACTTGCAAGGCACTTCTACACAACTGATTAAACCATTGCACGCCACCAATGGCATCAACGTTATTGGAACCTTGATCCGGATCATAGAAGCGCTTGTAATCCTTTTTCCATCGTGAGAGAATGTACTTGGAAGGGACTTCCTCCACACCATTGAAGTTAAGCACACACAATGCATGCCGACATAGATATCCGTAGAAACTAAAGCAACTACAAATGCATCTAACTTCACTAGCTGTTCGGTTATACAGTACTTCAAAATCCCTAATTTCTCTCTTATTTCCTTCAGCCAAGACTCGTTCCTTGACCAAGAAGATTATTATAGGCCCATCAACATGTAGCTGTGTCGTGCTAAAACAGGAATACATCTCCTCTACCTCTAATTGGAACCTTTTGAAAATTTCTCTTGTGAACAACTTGGAGAGTTGCAACTCAAAGGAGCATCTTGTTTTCAAACCAGGGCTGGTGTTTCTTGACTCGATATCTGCAAGACTTTCTTCTTTGTGCTTCTTTTGTAATGCTAATTCATACTTATCAAGAAACTCTTTCAAAGGAGTTTGTTTGTGCACATATTTATCAAAGAAGGGACTTAAATTTTCACCAGGTCTCGAGGCATATAGTCCAGCAAAAAATGTGTCCTTTAAGTAAACTGGAGCCCACCGAATTCGATCTTCATATAATGATCGAAGCCATTCATGGTCTGCGACACCAAAATGCTGGACCATAAAACCCCATGCTGCTTCAAATTCAATTACTTTGAGCGTTTCAAAAACTGCCTTAACAAATGTCTTTCTGATTGCATCGTAATTACGCAATCCTCCCAATTTTTCTGGAACTCTTTTCATTATGAGTGACAAACTTAAGCGATGATTAGATTTGGGAAACACCTCCGCAATTGCATTCTGCAAAGCCTTGCAACTGTCTGTAATAATGG